AAGAGAGGGAGGGAGGGGAAGAGAGTCCCAGATTTGACCTTCCTTGGTGATGCTTACGCTAGCTGTGCAGCAGCCAGTACTGTGCCACTGAGACGCAGCCTACTCAGAGTAACTACAGGTTTCACAGGATTATCCTCGGGACACCTCTGAAGAGGTTGTTGCTGCATTTACTTTTCTGTGGGTGTAAAATCCTCTCATAACCAGCCACAAATACGTATTTGGCGATTTACAAACACAGTCAAGGTAACAAATGTGTAAAAACCGATTTGTGTGTGTCATGAAGGCCAAAAATGCGTTTTTGTAGATCTACAAATAAAACCCAGATTTAGAAATGTGTAAGAACGATTTTCTCTGTGCAGTTCTTTAAAATGTATTTGCAGATCATTAGATGTGCCTGATGCAAACAAATCACATTAAGTTTGCGTGCGAGGTTTCGAGAGGATTGTCCTGCTCTGAGATTCACATACGTATGGTGCTTTTAATGACAGGGGGAAAATGCGGATGCTTGGCTTTTCAGGCTTTTTTCCAGAGTTAAATTTGTGGATTATTGACCACACATCTGTGGTCATTATGAGAGACGCACAAATCATTTTTACACACTTGTAAATCAGTTGTTGTTTTTTTGTAGGTCGACAAAAAATTTTTGGCCTTCATGAGACACCCGTCAGTTTTTACACATTTGTAACCCTGACTGTAAATTGACGAATACGTTTGTGTGGCTTGTTTTGAGAGGATTTTACACCCATGCTTTTCAAGCAACATTGCTTTATGTAATATTTAAGATGATTCTTGTACAGTAGTTACATTTTTTTCAGTTAAATTTGTTGCCTCCCTGAGGAAACCTGATGCCGTGAGAGAGCAAGCGAGCAGTGAAATCCATGTATTTCTATGCAGGCACACATTCATATGGACATGCCTTGGTATAGTCAGTGAAGTGCACTCAGAGTGTCAATTAGGGAGGGATTTCAATGGACTGAAGTGGAGCCTCCAGTGAGGTGTGTGTTGCACATAGGCAGACAGAGACACAGAAAAACAGAAAGAAAGGGAGACAAAGAGACAGAGCTCTGAGCTTATTTATAGATTCACATGTGTGCACGAATGAATCTCTCTTGGTTCCACGAGCAGGGCCTCACGCTGTGCATCGTCCTCAGCATGACTGATTGATATGACTCATTTAGTGGCTGCAGAAGGCTGCTAGGACCAACAGGCTGTGAAAAATCTGAATATTCTAATGAGAGAACCAGATAAGGTGCACAGCACAAGTTTGGATGATTTGATCTGATTATGACCATAAAATGCTGTCACTCCTAATGGATAATGTTACAAAAGCCCTCTAATTTAACAAGCACCCTTCCCTCCATCTACAATAGATTGAGGTGTAATTGAAACAATTAGAGGCAGAGGAGGTAGAGGGCTCACTGGTCACAGCTTAGAGAAGAGGAGACAATGCAGAGAATTCTCTGCTTCTCTCAGCTCTTCAGCTTGAATGACCTCTGAGTCAGTTGTCCCAGTTTTTGATTCTGTTCCTCCATTTATTTTAATTGAATGGAAACATCAGTCTGCACTGCTCACTCCTTATTAGTTTCAGGGGGAAAATCAGTTATTTTGTTTTTGAAACTGGAAAAACTTTCAGTTAACATGACTTAATAAAAATCAGGCTGCCAGCAAACAATGATGGACTGCAGCTTGTTTATGTAATCATGTCAGGGGCTTCATAAAGGTCACCCACTCTTTTTGACCTCCTCACCCAGCATCGTCCTCAGGTTGCCTCCTTTTAATAGCAGCATTTCAGCTTCATCCTGCTTTGTTTTATTTACTAATTGCACTCTGAGGCCTCCCCTGTGTGGTGTTAATCAGACTGAGACCATGCAAGTTTCTTCAGTGCAGACTTTACAGGAAAACAGTGAGGTGAGCTAAGAAGCGTCTTTCAGCTGAGTGAAGCCTCGAGCAGAGGCATTTGTGTGGGCAGAAAGTTCATTAACTTACAAAACAGTGAAAATATAAATTTAGGGAGGCATTAGCTTGATCTATGGGATTGAGCGTTGTACAGTACACCTTCGTTCACTGCTCATCTGGGGGCGGCACTGTATGGGCAGAGAGAGGATGTCCCCATAGCAACGCAAACTCAAACACAGTTTCAATAGGTGTGTTTGAAAAGACAGGAGAGCGTGGATGCCCAGGCCAGCCACCAAATGCAAAGCAAGAGCTTTACACAGAACTCGTCTCTGCCTCCGAGTCCTTCCCAGCACCATGTGATGGTAATAGAGAGGCTCTTGAATCAGTCACAGCATGTCAGTGGCAGTGAGATGACCTCATCCTGCTCTGCTTTTTTAAAATTTTATTTCTGTCTCTGCCTAATTAATCTGGGCACTCTGGTTGGCTCCTGACAGCAGGCTTGTAAAGTAAGATTTGTTCACTGCTCATTATCATTGATGAAGTAGAGTGTCAGTGGTGCCAGGAAGCGTGGCTGGTCGGGGCTGACGTGGGTGAGCTGGTGGTAGCGAAGTCGTCAACCCAGTCACTCCTGCCTCTGCTCCCACAGTCCCACTCCCAGATTAATTGCTCCCAGACTACTTTTGCACCTGAATTGAATTGTAATGATTCATAAGAAAGTGTAAAGTGTCTGACTGTACATGGATATGGAGGCAGCCAGGTTGATCTCCTGGTTATATTCTGCAGATTCAGTAGTTTAGCTTTTATGTTAGAGCTGGTTGGAAAAATGAAAACGGCATTTAGAATACATGTCTGTCAGATGGTTTTGCCTGCAAGAATGAAGTTATATTAATCTTCCATATGTTCTAATTATTTTTCAATCCATTTTTTCAACTTTTACACACATTTCACAAAGTCTCCAAAGGACTTTTATTAACCCCAAACTGTTGTATTTCTCAGTATTAAAGTACAGCATCACCAGAAACACAACTTGAACCATACAGCCAATTGTTTTGTTACACATCTCTAAAATTCATTTAAAAATAATCTCATTCCACTGGTATGCTTCAGTATTTTACTATTCAAATATTGTTGTTTTTTAACTTGTATGTTAGTTTTTACATTTATATATTGGAGAGGACTTTGTAGACAGTAGGGTGCCTTTCCTTATCATTCCTTACATATCCATTTGCAGTAGTTTATTGTATGTATATTTCTATGTGCACAGTTAAGATTATCATTTATAACCACACGTAAAAAAACTACACAGTATTTTATCTGAAGACATGGAGCACACAAAATAATAGTAATGCTGAGCTATTAAACCTGGCATCTGAGATGGATAAAGCAATCTGTCAAAGCCTGCTTGTTCATTTTAAACATTTTAAAATGTGATTGAAGGAATAATACCGATGTTTTTCCAGTGTATAAACTCTTCAGCATCTGGTGTCTGATCAGATTTGATATTGAGCTTAAACCAAAGAATAACGAGCAGGGCTTGTCATGAACGTGTGAGCAGTTACAAGGTCTGAGAATTTGTAGTACATGTAGATGATAAGTGCCTCGCTGCGATTTTCATGTGGCAATGGCTAATATGGCCACACAAGTCTAAGGTGAAGAAAAGTGGATGTGAACAGATGGTGATATATAGAGCAGGGAAGCCTCTATTTAGATGGACCTTCCAGTTCATCTCAGACATATTGATCGGCACAATTTATTCTCTTTACTCAGAGGATTATGGCTCTATAGAGTAATATAAAGGTTTCCCGACATGTCAATCAACTGTCACAGCCAATTCCACCCAGCAGACTTCATCCTGTCTCACAGATGGGCTCACCAACTCCCCCTGCCAATCAGACAGGCTCCATGTCTAACACCAGGGGTTCTTGAGGGCATCAAGTCTCTGTTTTTTTTTACATTTAGGAATGGTATCGATATTGTGGCTTTGTTGTATTTCTCTTGTTTATTATGTCATCTCTCTGCCTACTGCAATACATGTGGCTGTCTGTATTCTTCCATTTGCTTTTATTTGCTTGTATAACATTTGTGATTAGTCAGTTAGCAGCACTGTGTGGGCACATGTGCTTGAGAGGCATGTTTTAGTGGTCCCCCATTTCCTTCTGACCTCTGCAAATGACTCCTTTGGCAGGAAGTGTGCATGTAAACAGGCCAGCGGTGGGGCATTGATTCCATGGTTGGATTTATTGTTGAATCCCTCTGTTTGGATGAGAGTCTCTGACCTTGCCCATCTCAGGTGGCCAGAGCTGATGCCTTACTACCCATGAGCTGTAGTGAAGTTATTAAAAACTCCATTACCGCCATTCAAAGCTAGACATAACTCACGGTGCAGATATAGAGATGTCAAAAAAAAAAATAATCAAAGAGATTGATCTGAGAAAGTAGTGTAACTCAGAGAAATCTTAAGAAAGGTAGAAAGACTGCCAGAACTGAAATACTGACATCAGTCAGAGCCAGACTGGATCACTCAGTTACACATCGATCATACCCTTTTTCAATAACCCCTCTCTGTCACTGTGTAGATCCTGAAGGAGGTAAAGGATGAGGAATGGAACATGGGCAATATTGTCTACACGCTGACCAACAGGCGCTATGGAGAGAAATGCATAGCCTATGCAGAAAGTCATGATCAGGTAAATAATTTTTTTATGTGATCTTACTAGTGTGAATAGAGGCGGCACTATCTCAGTGGATAATAAAACATACTGTAACCTGCTTTTCCAGGCTCTGGTTGGGGATAAGACTCTGGCCTTCTGGTTAATGGACAAAGAGATGTACACCAACATGAGCTCCATGATTCCCATGACAGCCGTCATCGACCGCGGCATGCAGCTGCATAAGATGATCCGCCTGCTAACTCACGGTCTGGGTGGTGAAGGCTACCTCAACTTCATGGGTGAGTCACTGTGGCAATCCAACACTACAGTTGTATATAAATTATACTAGATACCAAAACAGATTGTATTAAGCAGTCATTGAGAAATATTGTATAACCCTTTTTATCTGATGCTTCCTGTTTTTAATAACATTCTGTCTTGAAGCTATTCATCCATTGACAGAAAATTAATGCACATCAATTATGACAATTCATTACAAATTTTAATCACCTAGCGTGGAGAATTGCCAAACATTATTTGCTTCCCTTGTGTGAGAATTTATTTCTTTTCTCCATTTTATATCTATGTAAATTAACTACATATAGCAAATGAGGCCATGAGTGTGAAGCAGCATCCTTCTGTTTGGTTCTTCTTCTTTTTTTTTTTTTTTAAGATGACAGGAATGATTTTGGATCCCTGTCATGTACCGTATTCTTCCTGAATTTGAACTTCTCCCCTCAGGCAAATGTAACAGTGTTCACCAAACAGATATAAACATGTATTTATTCTCCTGTCCATCTAAGACATTCACAGGCAGAAACATGCTTCAGCATAAATATTTAATTGATCCCTACTGTCTTCATTTGCACTAATGTTAGGGGTGTTGTTTTTGTGCTATAGTCATTTATTGTTGTACACATCACAATGTCGTGTGTGTGTTTAACATCACGGTAGGACTGAGAAACTGATTTTACCTTTTGAAATGAGGAGCAAGTTCTCTTTCATAAAGCCTTAAAATAGCCCAACATAGCCCTTGTTACTTATTTTCCATTTGGGTTTAAAATGCTCAGTTTTATATTTCTTTTATGGATGTATCTCTGGAGTAGCACACTACCGTTGAGTCAAGGCTGATGATAAGCATCAAAGGAACCTTTGAAGTGAGGTTGACATTAATACTCACTTTCCAGAGCTGATGGTGAAATACAGGACAAAAGCTGTCTTTATGAGACAGGTTCCTTTTTTAACGTGGATCAAATTCTCATTCATTGTTGAGATATTCCTCATTTTCAACACATCATCTGAACTACAGCATGGCTTTATGCCTGTTGGTAATACTCAGATATATTTCATAAACTGATTATTTGTGATGTTGGAAGTTGACCTTGGTTGAAGGGAATGTGTTTGCCTCTCTCTGGCTTAATGTAAATACAGAATACTGCTGAGATCCGCAGCATTTTAGCTCCACCTTGTGACTAGATGGTCCGGTCAAATAATCAAAATATTTCTACAATGTTTGTACTGCTTCTTTGAATTCATTATCTGTCAGTATTCACTATGATGTGCAGTCTTACTCAAGGAAAAAGCATGAAACACCCTGTGAATTTTTGCTAATTGGACCAATGTGTCAGGGCAAAGAAGCATAATCAAACCTGCTGTTGTTGATGGGCAGTAATAACAGGGCGGTTTATAATGAACAAGTGAGTGAGGATGTCAGAGAATTGACCCCATGTGGACAGCTGAAGTATAGTTAATAGTAATTATATCTGATTCTCCAGATAAAGTATAGCTAAAAGGCACACTGCTGCACTCTGTGCTTTGTCTCAGTGGGTGCAGCAGCAGAATCATCAGCTGATGTAGTGAGTGAAAATACCTTAAATTAATGATCTCATTAAATCAATCATATTTTGTGGGGGGAAAAAAACTATTATGAATTTGCTAACTTGTCATTACAGCTTTAAGCCACACATAGTTTTGCATGTTTTGTTCACCTGTATTATTACGGTTGACATATATTATAGCAAAGGGCAGTTGTTTTCTTCCAGATCAGAATGTTTCTATCTGAAATTTGTTAATTCAGGAAATAATAAATGAAGTTGAAAGAGGCTTGCAATTAATCATAAAACCTCACTGTATTTAATAAGGCAAGTTCAGTTCAGTCACTTTATGTTGAGTAGGATTTCTGAGATCTGATAATGTTAGAAACAGCAGAATCAGAACTAGAAGGCTTGTATACCCTACAGTTTCTATTACTGTATAACATTCTTGTCTCAGTAGTCTATAATCTGTACTACATGTGTTTATGGTTGGTCTGCATGTTGTAAATTCTTGTGCTTCCTCTCTATCTTCTGTTTCAGTCTTTTCTGATTCTTACCCTGTAGAGTAAATCACAATTTGAGCTGTTCAAATGTTAGACACTGAGATTTGGTTTTGAAATATATTGTAAATACTGACCTGTACCTTCTTCACTTTAATTTTGAACTGGAGAGTGTCTTCTCTATCCTCTGTCTTTTCCACATCTTTATACGTCTCACATTACCTTGTAAAGACTGCCCTGAGTGATGATCTTGCTTTTCGTCCTGATGGCTGTGAGCAGCTTTTAACCTCTCAAAGTTAATTCCTCTTCCTGATGCATTAATAATAATTTCGAGAACTGTTGACTGGCTGGCTAATGGTGCTATCATCTTTTGAAAACAGTAACAATAGATGAAAACAGGAAACAGAAAAAAAAAAAGTTTCCCAATCTACAAAGACACTGAAGTTCGTCCCCGGAACATTCTAGAGTTCAGGGCCCTTAGTGGGTCAGCTTTAGGGAAATACTCAAGGAAAAAAAAAATCAAGTGAATCCGAGATGACATACCATGTCAATGAATCAATGAGGCAGAGTCATTTAGCCACTGCTGAGCATGAGCAAATTGTTTGAGCAAGCAAATCAATTTGAAGCCTAACCTAGAAAAAGCCATTTATTTGCTCATGGCCTATGGCAAACACCACAGAGCAAGAGGACAGAGAGCGCATCTGTATTTGAGATGCTGAGAGATGGATACTGTAAAGGATGTTGGAGTGTCAATGACATTAAAGTGCCAAGTGGCATGGCAGTAATGAAACGCCTCAGTGGTTTTATCATTACATCAGCAGGGACAGAATGAAGCGCCCGCACTTCCTGACTTTCAGGGTTCACAGAGACTTAAGATAACCTTGCAGATTTACAGTTTAAATGATTGAGCTAAAAACTTCTCCTAGCATTCTGTATTCATGGAGTGCGACAGTGCAACAGGCAACCATTATACCGCAGCCCAGGACAATGAATTGAAGACCAGTGCTTCCTCCTCATACATTTCAAATAGATAATCTCACTGAATGCTCAACCTGCTTTCAGGCTTGTGTTTTTGGATGAATGGGCCATTCCTACCTTTTCTGTAGTACCAGTAACACTTATTTAATATTCAAACTGGGAGTGGGAGTTTACATTAACACAGTAACAAGAAATGAATCTAGTGAGTGTAAATAATCATCACATCTCCTCTGCAGCTTTTTAAAATTTTTGTTTCTTTGTTGTTTTGCACTGCAATTAAAACCTTCTGCGACTGTCACTTTCCTATCCCCTCGGATTCCCTCATTGATCTTCCTATGCCAGAATTCCTCCAATGGAGGCTCCTTCTTGTACTGCTAATTACTGAGGGGACTGTGTCACTGTCAGGCCTTTATCTGATGTAGGGGCTGTGTAGAGGAGTAATGGAATGTGCCAGCTCAAAAGCTGTCTGACATAACCTTGTGTAAACATGGTTGCCCACCCATTAATCATATCATTATTGGGACCACCATAAATTTAAGCATCAGCATTCTCCAACAAATGTGTTTTTCCCCCCACCATTTAGCATGGGTGTACAAATCATGGTGCAACTTATTATATGAAAATGCTATATATAATTTTTCTTTGAGTGTTTAGCCATCATTTATACTGGTTATGATAACCCTGTACTCAACAACCTGACTGCTGGCATCTGGGGACGTGGTGACATCTCTAGAAGTCTAGTGTATCAGGGCAAGGTGCAATCTGATCACACTGAACAGGCTTTTCTTGTATATTATATTGTATATGTATATTACACTGACTTCGCTAAACTCTATATTTTACCACCTGGATAACTGGTTACATTTTCAAACAAATGTTTTTATTGTTTTGCTTTAATAAGACCAAGAGTCTACAGACGTGCTGTCGTCTGTGAGGGTGGTACAGGCACAGAAGTGCCTTGAGTTGAATGCTGATCACAGCATGCTACAATAACATGCTCACAATGACATTGCTAACATGCTCATGTCCCTCTTAGTTTAGCAAATCGTTCTTGCACATTTACTAATTGTCTCTAAACACCGCCATCATCCGTCCAACACCACAAATATGAACTTGCTGGTGGTGCTAGAGGATGTTAGAGGAGCACCAGATTCATTAGGGTTCATCCACTGGAGATTATGAAAATTTGCACCAAATGTTATGGCAACCCATGTTGCCAGGGTATTCCAGTCTGGACCACAGTGTTGGAGTGACTGACTGAAACTGCCATTTCTCTAGCTATGATGCATGATTATAAAGCCTGAACTGTTTTTCCCCTAAATGATACTCTGTTACCATCTATTCCAATTTTTACTCTCGTAGTTTTGACCATCAGTCCTATCAGTAAATTAATTTCTGAGATCAGAATGGCAGCATCACTGAACACAACTCCAATGGGGCAAGAAACATGAGCAGTCGGATCAAAAAGGTTTTAAATAAACTCTGTGGTTAACCAAAGGAAACAGTCAGTAAAACTATTAGCCAAACTGTTCTATATAAGCATTCTGTGTCAGCTGTGGCCAGCCAGGCTTACTGTACTTGTGTTTACTCATATTTTAGATATTCTGGTTTAACAATTGGCTGAGCTTCTGACTATGTTTGATTCTTGCCCTGTCTGGCTAAAAACAGTAATTATCCTTTAATGGTGTTTAAAAAACAATCCCTGTATATTTTATAGTAAAACGGCACACAGTATTTTATCTCTGATAACAGTGCCCTACAAATATAAAGAGGCACAAATGATGGTTTTATTTATGTGTATTGGGGGGCAATCCATCTTGCACAGAATGTGCTAACTGTTTTATTTCAGCTGTGAGAAGGCACGGGAAGGGGATTATCACGGTGATTAATGCAGGCACGTGGGAGGAACGTTGCTGTGTTATTGTGGAAGAGAAGGAAATGATTGCTTAATGGAGGCGTGTCCAATGTGTTTCTTTAAAGTTGAAATGAAAAAGATGAGTCAAAGGC